TATTTTGCTGTTGTTGCTTTTAATAAAATTATGTTTATTTAAGTAACAGCTGTTAAAGATATAGATATAACCCGCGTTCTGTTTTGCAACTGTGGTTGTTTGCAAACGGAGTGGTAAACCGCATTATTGCTGTATTTGTCTTTGTGGTGTGATCATGTGATTAATTCAAGCTATAAGACAGAACAAAATAGTCTCATGTTAACATGGTTAACATATATTTGTCTTAATTTCTTCCTGTTTTTCTTACATCCACACACCAGAGGATCAATTAAGTGAAATGCAAACAACGAAATTAGCCTAGTTAAGTTGGAAAAGGTTTGTCAAATGGTAATCTTTGTCATTAATAAGTCTATACTTTTATTAACAACTCGTATTGATCGATCTTGAGAAAATTGTCACATTCCTAAATAACTTTTCATTTCTGTTATCATCAAGTAAGCTCTTTAAATATAAGTTTAAGAACAAATATTATTGATCTTGTATTGTTATAAATTCTCCCAAAATAAGGACATACACACGTTTTAGTACAAAGAGTTTTGGTCTTTGTTTTGTTATACATTTAATCAGTATAAGGACACAGGTTTAAAAACAAACAGTTTGGGCCATGTTTTGTCAATATAAGGACGCATAAGTTTAAGAACAAAACGTTATGGTAAATTTTACCAATACAAGGGCACATACGTTAAAGTACAAACAGTATAGATCTTGTTTTGTTATAAATTTCAATTAAATAAAGGGCACAAATGTTGAAGAACTAACAGTTTGGACCTTGTTTTTTATATAATTTGTACCGGTATTAGGATCAACAGGACCAAGCAAAATGATTTGTGTATATTTTAGAAGCTTTCCTGAACATAAAACGTGAACTTATAATTAAAATTTGACAAGTTTATCTCACTTTAATATGCACTTTTAGGTTGCTGTAATTCATGTATATCAAAAGTTCTTGTTGAGTATATTGTAAGTAAATAATGAATTAATATATCAATTATATATGCCTGTATTATTGGAGTTTATGTTTATCTAACCTACAGCAGGTGAGGTGTTTTACCCTAGATGTTGCTTTGTAGTTTGCACACCCGAGGTTAGCCAAAGACATCGTTCCTGTTTCGGCGCCATATGACCTATACAGTGTTGGTGCGCCCTAAAATCAAGCAAACAAACAATTTTCGCCAACTACACCAGCCAAATTCTCAGGAAGCATTGCAGAGGTAAAGCCTTGGCAACAATTTTCAGACGAAAACTTGACAACTTATCAAAATTACTCAATATACCTTGAACCGGTTCCTATCCCTTGGAATCTTGTCCAATCTGATTATTAAATTATTTCATTTCCTGCTGGAATAATTTCAATATAATTAGGAAAGTAATCAAGACAATTTGATTTTCCTAACATAGCAACATTAAATTTGAAAAGCAAATTGTCTCTGGATGCTATTTTGAATCAAAACAAAAAATAAACACTGTACCAAATATCTAAAAAGTTTTATGCACGAAAATTCCAAATGCACTTTTGTATATTTAGTTACTTCATTTGCAAACTCCAATTATTCTAAAACTTCTGTATTTGTCTGTCAAATTAAATAAAAAATAACGTAAAAATAAAGTAAAAGTTTGGTAATTACTTTTGATGAAATGATGCTGTGCAAAAAATATTTTGTAAAACTTGTCCATACTCCTAGCTATTTTACTGTAGTATTTGTTATTAAAATCATTAAACAAGAATGTGTTTTAGTCTTAAAGCCAGACGAAAAAAAAAAACAAGCGACAAAGTGCTACAGGATCCATCAGCCTGGATATGTCTAGCTTGATGATAGTAGTGTACTCTTCCCAAATGTATCTTTGAAAACCTTTGGTCGTTTATATGTAGTAATATATGTTAAAAACTAAATCATCCGGAACATTTTTACAAGCTTTGTGAACATGTAGTTTTTTTAACAAAGCTGATAGTCATCAATTAACATTCTTATAAAACACATTTACTACTCAAAACGCATATCTAAATTTAAAAGAAAAGAAGAAAAATTAAATGATTGATGAAAATTAACTATAACTGAAATGTTATTTATGTATATAATGATATATTTTATACGTTTAATATTTTGACGAACATTTAAACAGTCTTTTTAATAAATCAGAATTTTAATTTATAAAACATATGAAACAAAAGCCAATCGTTCCGTTACTAAACACAACGGTTAATTGTTAAAAAAGGGAATGTCTAGAATTTAAGTTTTTTATCGCCTCAAAATATCTTGTTTGGACAAGGTTAACACGTAATAGCTTTTGTCTTTATAAAATTCAGCTTTTGTCGTGGTAAAATTCAGTTATTGTATGCACGGACATACACCTTGTTGAAATATGTCAGATGTGAACGGATTATTAACATTTTAATAATTACAAAAATAAAATTTCATTAAATCATTTTAAATTTCTCATTAATGTTTTAATATACTTAAAAGGTGCGATTTAAAAAGCTTTGACTAGTCGAGAATCACTGTAGGGCATACAAATTTAGAGAGGACCGATAGCTTATGTTGAAATAACTTGGGCTCAATGCTTTTGCTTTTCTAGATATAAACTTGTATATTTAAACAATAAAATATGATTAAATCAAAATAAATTTTTTTAATTAGTCATTTGCTGTTTGGTTTGCATATTTTGATAAAACAAACAAGATTTGTTTAAGTTAAACCAAACGGCCTTATCCGTCTTTTAATCTAGACAAGTCATCAATTTAGGAAAAATATAAAAATATCTACTTTACTGAAAAGCAAACAGAGCAGACAAACATCTAACAGCATGTATTTGCCAGTTGATCTTGGTCTGAACTGGTCACATGGGTAGAAACCGTTGTTGTTAGCAAGCAGCTTAGTGCTAAGATAATATCGCAATTATATGTATTTAGCGAAGAAGATGTGTAACAGTTTATATAATATACACATTGTCAGAGGTCATCCAAAAAGCATAAAGTGCAAACTTTTGTTTTAAATATCAAACGTACAGTTTAAAAAATGAATTTCATATTTCAAATAAAGATTTTTTTTCACAATCGCTGCAAGCATTATCATAACAACAGCAAAGCTCTTCAATGTCTCTCCCTGACATATCTCAGACACATCTTTGCATTAGATTTTGAACTGCTTTTCTCGGAAATAAAAACACAAGAACACGCTATCAATTTAAGTTAAAAGACACAGTGGTTTCTAAGAATAATTTTAAAGTATTTCCGCATCCTTGAATTATGGAGTTAATTAGAACATGCAAAGGTGGAATTTTTGTGTTTTTTTTTTCCAATTTATTTTTAGTTTATAGTTCAAAAATGTATCACTTTCATTTAACCATTTCTCCCCTTAAACTGTTACTGTTTGAATGTAATTTTTATGAAGGTATGGACATTTGAAAAAGGTATGTTCTAAAAAGCTTTCTTTTCTTTTGCCTAGAATATTCGATTCTCATATATTTTTAATTGGCACTTTGTACCTGTTTAGAATATTTTAACAAAATACACAGAAATCATCCTTTACTCTACCACTATTTTAAATAGATCTGTCCATCTTTCAATGAAGATATAACTATTTTATCATTTATAAAAGATTCAATTATATATTGTTGACTATATAACAGGACAGACCATGATAAGAAGGCATGGATGTGCTGTCTTGTCTTGGTCGGTATGTACTGGTCGCATAGGTTAAACATATTTGCTGTTTCCATTTTTACACCTTAGTTCAATTATTCTTAAATATATCAATGTCATTGAAATAATAATATACCATTTTACTAATTAAAAAATGTCAAAATTGATGAAACATGTTATTTATTGTATTAAAGAACAAAAATTCGAATCACACTTATGTCTCTAATGCACCGGAGGATGAGTGGTGAAGTTGTTAGGGCATTGGAGTGTTAACCCCAAGACACTGAAAAATATTTGTGGTGACATTCTCTTTCTTTTGCCATAATCCAAACTTGCCCAGTTACTAGTTATACCATACAGATATAAATCATATGGCTTGAGTTCAAGCTGGTGTCTATGTTTCCAAAATAGGACTTGACATTAATGAGAAAACAAAAAACCCTTCTCGACAACTACTCTGCTTTTCAAGCTGTGTAATCAACTTGAATTTAATTCAATTCAATTCATAATGCATGTGATTATCTCGCGCTAAGTGTACAAAATAATTGTAATTGACTTCCGTAGTCAGCATTGATGGTGAAATCAATTTTCGTTGAACAATGGTCGTTAGAGTACTATGAAGAACTACGGGGTTTCAATATTTAAACTGCTTTATTACATACTTGTCTTTCAAATAAATTTGATAAAGTGTTCGTTAAGGAAATATCATAAGGGTAAGTGATTTCTGATTGTGCCAAACATGCAACCACGACCATTATTGGTCCAGGTTTTACATTTATCTAAGATACAAAGGGTCTTGTTATAATGAATAAGTCTTGTAAAACAGAAAACATTTCTTTTCAAAAGTTTCATTATTGCACCAAGTAGCTATAGTCGTCTATGTTAACTATGTTAATTTCATTTATGTTAGGAGGCTTGGCAACCAGCTTTTCCAGATGCGGTGATTTTACTTTGATGCCTGTAAATGCCTAAATCACTGTACAAAGTGGCTCCTAACCTTCCACTACCTTTGAAATTTTGAAAGTTTGAAATTCGTCATATGACGTTGACATTGTCAGTGCTACTTAAAACCAAGCCAATGTATATTAAGTAAAATGTAGCGCAATACCATTGTACTGTTTAAAACGTCAGTATATTATCTGCTCATATATCTTAATATTCTAGACGAATCATTTAGGGAAGTTTCAATCATAGAATTAAACGAAATTATTTATCGCCGTAATGTAAAGGTAAAATTATGTAAGACGCTCAAATTAAACAAGGGTTCGCAAGACATGAAGACATGACTTATTTCTTATTTGATTGATGATTAAGGAACAACATAACAAATATAATGTTTTATTTAAATAAAATGCAAGCTAAATGTAATAAAATACATTACGTCAATTAAAAGAAATAAGGTATGATTCAAATTAAAAAAAAGATAATTAAAGTACAATGTATTTCATTATGAAATATTAAAACTGATAGCAATATGGAAAGATAAAGGAAATCAGTACATGAATATAAAATAAGCATGTAAAAGGAAAACGAAGTCAATACAAAGGCCAATTAATTCCTTTTCATTATTTGAATAAACATAAAAGCTGATTACTAAATTTACGTACTTTCAAAAATTATACCTTCAAATCAAAACGAAAACGCCTTTGACACAAAGCTGAATTTCTAGAAATATTTCTAGACATTTCAAATTTGAGTTTTTAAGTAGCGAAACTTTGAAGCAAAGCCTATCCTTAAATCAACTGTTTCCATTTTTGTTAAGAGCGTTCCTTGCCTCGAACTTCCTTTTAAATTGTAAATCACACGGTAATTGAGCTGAATGTAAGTAGATTCTAAAATAAACAGCCCTCAGTCATCAAGGTCTATTAGATAGTGCCATTTTGAAATCATTAAATTGGGATTCTCTAGCATTTCTTGCCAATGGCCATATTGGCCAACTTCGGTTGCTAGGCAACCTAGAACAACTTGTCCGATTAAAACGTCACTGCGGAATCTGTCGTGATCATAAACTAAGATGTTTACAGAAGTGGCGTACATGTCGTCTGCATGGGGACTAACTTCGAATGTAAACAACTGCTCAAACGAGGGATTTGGCTCGTTTTTCTGAACATTTGTTTGATGCTTGATTACAGAGCGATCTGGTTTTGACACTTCTACACGGACGTATGGATCTGGAAAACAATAAATTATTTTAAGTAAGAGTTATATCGTTTTAAAATAAGCGTAAGGAAAATTGTATAAATGGTCAACAGAGCATTCCGAATAATGGCTTTCATTGCTAATCTATTCTGGACAAAAAGTGAATTTGGCGAAGTTTAATGTATCAAAATATGACTTTCACGGACTAAATTTATTCCCAAACTTTTATTCAACAATATTGCTATAAACAATCGTATAATGCGAGTTATTTTAAAGTATGATCTTTTACCCAAAACGGTATGCAGAAACAATTTATTTGGGGCCTTAGTGGCGGAGTGGTGAAAGGCGCTGACATCATACTGGCTGTCCCCTAACGGTTGTGGATTCGAATCCTCCAGAGACTCTGAAAGCTTTTATGAGAAAAAGTTACCACCCGGCCTACGGAAGGGAAGTTTTACTCGTATGCCCACTCATAAATAAAACTATGCACAGAGAAACACCTCGAAGTCATTATCCACCAATAAAGCTGGTCAGCCGCCATAGCATAATAAATGTTACTTTGACATAACATCCAACACGTAAGGCAGATGTATGTAATTGTAATCAGTATTTGTTATTTTCTATGATCTTTAAGTCACGGTTTAAAGAAATAAATCAAACTGAGTCTGTTTCAATTTTGCCGTTATATGCGTATCTTGTACGGATTTTGTTTTTTCTCTATTTGGTTGCCAAAACATGATACTACAAGATGTCATTTGAAGTGTGCCAGTAACGAAGTATAAATCATCATTATCAAAGAATATATACTAGTATCATCTATTTGAGTAGATAGCATTGATTTATATATAAAGAGTATAAAGCTATATATTTGCTGAAAAAATATTGTTTGGATTTGGTAAAATAATACTATCTGTATGAAAGAAATATGATTGTTTATTTCCTAAAAAGCAAATGGTTTATCTAAAAAAGTCATTGATAAACGGTAAAGAAACCTACATAAAAAGCAGCATATTTTGTTTCGGAACATTTTTATTCTGTTTGCATGTAATATTCATTTGGATAAAATAGCACAGACATTGTATGTTACACATGTTTCAAAAAACCGACCATATAGTTACCGAAACAACATAATTTTACTGTGTATAGATTTAATAAAAGTATTTTTAAAAGATATAGCTTTATACCCTTTAATATCTATATATCTATGTAAAAGCATACAATAATAAAACACGGAATGGAGAAAATAATTACTTGGTGATCCAGTAATTGGATGAAGGCGAAGTTGTCTGGCCTGTTCAATATTGACTGTAAGGATTCCAAGTCCAGGGGTGAACTTCAGTCCGACTGACAAAAATCCCAGATCCTGCAAAAAGATGAAACAATATAAAAGCAACCGCCATCAATGTGTTTTTTGTTGTTGTTTTTTTCAAGTGGAATAGTCTACAACGAGCTTATTTTCGATAGGATTTTCAAATACCGATAAAATCTATATAATTGGTTAAGGTCGTTGATTTCTAACCCATTGCCCTAAGCGCTTTTGGTTCAAATCCCACAAGGGCCTTTGGATTCTTTCATGTGAGGAAGCTGAAGCTATCCAGCTAGCTTACTTAACGTCGGTATTTATACTCTACTCAACCAGTAAAATTAACGTCTTCTGTGTTGTTGCGATGTAAAACCCATCTAAAAGAGTATTTATGGAATTACGGACGATTAAGTTTTATTAACCAATTCATTTTCAATGAATCAACTTGCAAAGAAACAGCTATTTTATTCATTTTATCTACAATTCCGTGCACTCTTATATATTGTTTTGTTTAATCTGGCATTTTCTTTATGAAGCATTCTTTTGGATTTCATTTAACATATTGCAAGGTAACGAGTCATTTCTTTAAAGTCTTTAACCGCTTTCAACAATAAATCACCTTCGTTTTAATTTAATAGATACTAACAATAATATTTTGTTCGTTTACGTGGTAACAACCTAGCCTTTATTACATGTGTATCATTTTATCTAAAACAAATCTTGCACGCTTCATAATATATCAGAGGAATCAAGTGCATTAGCATAGTAAGAGACTTATGGTTTGTCATTCAAATGTTCTACAACTATTCCTGAGCTTCATGGTAATAACATGCGTGCGCATTTGACATTTAACCATGCATTATTATGCATTATTGTACGCTAACGCGCTCGTGAAAAATTGGTATTTATTCCCTAAACATTATAAGTGCTAAAAGCATTTTATTCACGTCTGTTCTATTTATGACCGTCAAGGGATTATAAATGATATCTTGGTATATTATTTTGTTTCACCCTTTCATTTACATATACATTTATTCCAGAACGAGCATGACGAAAACATTATTAATTCCGCAAAAATTGTAACACAAACTTAAGGGTTTCTATATTTTATATTCTATAAATATTTTGCGTATAAAACACGTTTATGGCGGGAAAAATGAAATGTTCTGCTAGGTATTCGAAAAGAATGCGGAGAAAAGTTCAGCTGAAAAAATTACAAACATTTCGGCATACCTAATTTTTTAAACCTCGAATGTCAGGGAAAATCATAAAATTATGAAGACATTTTACAAATCTTATCTATAAAGGAAAATTCATTTACAAATTTAACATAACTTTTAAATTTTTCTCTGCCACACTGAAAAGTGCTTTTACATGTACTTATAATATAAGAGATTTAACAATTTTGGTTTTAATTTAAGCACCAGATATACAATGCACAAGTATAACTTTAATTAGATTGATGTATTGTGCATTTTCCTTTTCCGGAGAAGTGCAGCAAATTGTGACATGTTGCGTGTATACTACAGATTTTGCTCCCCTAATTTATCCCAGGCATTGCTTTTTCGCTGTGCTTTATATAAGGTTTATATATATTGACCTTTTAGTTGGATGTTTTAACTGTGAAAGCATCAATAATTAAAGAAATATTTCCTCAAAGCGACATCTATGTTTCTGACAAAGGCTTCTTTTCACCCGCAGAGACGTATTATTTTCAGAAACGCAGTCAAGACGTAAAAAATCGATTCTGTATAAGAACCACGTGTAGTTAGGCTATAAAACATAAAGTATGGAAATGCTACCAACAATTTATAGAATTCTATAATATACTTGTAGATATTTTGCTATATTGAGAACTGTATAGCATCAGATAGAAAGAAAATCCGTATTTTATAAGTGAATATTTAAGAAATGTTATTAGTTTACGGTTGAAAATAATATTCAAATATGTTTTTTAAGGGAATTTTGATTTGGTTCACAAGATAATTGTACCAGAACAGATGGCAATGAACGCTTTCGAACCTTGTGCGATCCGGTTACAGCAACATTTACTTGAGTCCAGATCGTGATAATACTATTATTTACCAGTAAGATGACGAACAGTACGTTTTATTAAAGTGGTAAAACCAATCCAAGGGTAAACGACTATTGTTCAGGTAAATTTAAAAAAACATGACATTTTGTCCTACTTGTTTTTAATTTTATAACAAACTAGGATAATCAATTACCACCGTGAACCACACAAATTTGTCAATGTCTAAAAAACCCGTCTGAATCTACTAGAAACATTCAATTTATAAAAAAAGTTGGACAGTCTATATTTTAGGCAGTTTTTATAATTTATCCTAATGTAAGTCTTTATTTATTATAGATCAATTGCTGATAACAAACCTAATCTCTTAAATATAAAATAAAAATTTTGGTGCAACTTGTCTGTGAAAAAATGAGCATAATGTCACGTAAATATGTGGTAAAGATATATAAAATACAGCATTAAAGACGAAATGTTCTGATAAAGAACTATTTTTAAAACTAATTTTGATACATGTATAACTTAAAAGCAAATTTAAAGTAACCGTTCATCATTAAGACTTATTTACACGTGAATATTTGCTTTTTTCCGTTAACTCAATACACATATAAGCTTATTTGATTTCAGGTAGGAAGTAGATCAAATACAAGATTTGTTTACTTATTCAAAAGATAAAAGTAACTTTTCATTCTTAATGTCAGACAAGAGGGCGTTTATTTACTTTAAGTCCAGTAAGAACAACCAAAGGAATCATATAATTTCCTCTGATCAAATTACCATAAAATTATTGTCTCAAGTAATTCTGTTCCACTCTGGACAAAAATAGCATAGCATTCACTAATTAGATTACTGTCATTCGCTGCTATTTTCGAAACTGTCCACTAGAAATGTCAAAGTATTCTTCAACTAGCCTTTTCGTTGTTTTTGTTTTAGAGTGATTTGTTTTCTATGGCAACAGATATGAATCTGGCGTATAGTAAGGCAAAGTGTGATTATACCTTCCATCTTTTACCACCCCCACACACCTACAATTCACCCAAGACTGTTAAAAACCAAAACTTGAAAATCTCAACAGCTTCAAATATAAACCAATTACAAGACATCCTAAGAAAGTAACTGCGATGGGCTAATTTGATAAAATTAACCCACTCACATTAGTCAGCAGTCACTGAAACATTTTTATAAAAAGTATTTAAATTGTAATTGTATGATATGTTGTTTTTTTTTAGGAAAATGTGATATTTGTGGGATATTGTGGGAGCGACGGGGTGGTAGGTCCGATTTGTTTAATAACAAAGTGAAAGCCGAACGCACACATATCTTGTCTAAACAAAAAATCGAGGGAAAAGGGAATTTTTTTTACGAAAAGACGTCTTATTATTTTGCTCAATAGTTTAACGAAATTACCTCTTATTATTTCAATATTTTAGCGAAATGGGTCTTGTTATTTCAATACTTTAGCAAAATGACATCGAATTATTTCCACTATTATAGCGAAACGACGTCTTAAAATTCCGATATTTCAGCGAAATGACGTCTTATTATTTCAATATTTAAGAATGAAAAATAAACGAGAAGCTAAAATTATTAAACATTAAATAAACTCTTAAAATCTGTAAGCAATGAAAGCTCAATAGGATATCTAGTGTTAATGCCGAGAACATTTGTTACGTGACGTCACTATAACTTGATGATCATTTACGTTTAATAAACGTTAATTTAATTTTATACTGATGTATTTAATCTAAAAAAAGATTGACCAAATCAGTCAAATGGGTACCTAAATCATTCTATAAAATCAAACACTTAAACATGAACTTGTGTTTAATATCTGTATGCTATATGAAAAATAATGTTGAATTTTATTCATAAGACAAATCGGATTAGATGCACGAAGTATGACATTATCAGATAAGAAGCTCTAATCTGCTTATAACCGCACTATTTTCTACTTTGTTATCATTTATTTGCAGATAAACGTCAAGAAATGGAAAGCCAACACATATCTACAAAAAATAGACGTGAAAAGGTCAATATGTTAATAATTAACACCACAAAAAGCTTCTTTTTTATATCTTTTACGTATTTTGTGTGTGTAAATTTGTAAAGTAAAATCTTATACAAAATTGAAACAAAAGCTTCTAGTGCGAAATTATTTTTTCAGGAGTGAATAATCCGGAACAAATGAAGTTGAACATAAAGGCATAAAATGATAAGTTGTTCTCGATATCCACATCACACGTTGCTTCGTGTACAAAACAAAAAAAAAAAAAACACCCTAGACTATGTCGGTGTTGAAATATATTAAAACTCTAAGTACAGTTTGTTTTAAGTAATATTTATTTTTTGCTAAAGAACTGAATATAAACGTCCGTCACGCATACCTGGCTTTGATTAGTTCAAAAACAAGAACAAACAACAATCAACAAACATGTGCTGGTTAAATTTCACTTATTACGAGTTCGTTATACGTGATGAAGCAAGTTCTTCTATCACCATTTTAATATGTATCGTTTGAACATTTTCACATTCGGAACACCTTGCCGATTACCAAAGTCATCCCGGAAACAATACAGATTGCACGTACTTCTACCACGTGACTTTTGATGTAAACAAAGGTAAAGTGTGTAATTTTGTAGTATTATGAATACTAATAACGAATATGTATTTGGCACTTGTTTACCAAAAAGTTATATTTTAGTAATGAATCAGAATCAGTTTTAGAACACCTTTACATACAATCACAATCAAATCAGAAATATTTACAGGAATGTCATTTGTAAACAGTAATTCTCAAAAACATAATGTACTAGTATGCTTCTTTAAATCATTAGATGTACGTAATTTAAGTAGACCTTAATATTATATCATAAAATAAGCTCAGCAAATTACTGTTCTACATGTCCTAAATTTTGTTGCGTAAGTTTCAAACTGAATTACAGTATCCGTTCTGTCTATTTGTATTTTTGTGTTCAAAATTGTCGGAAAGGACCGAAAATTGCATTTTTATTACTATAATTGTCTTTATTTTTTGTTATGAATGAAAACACTCATACACGTATATCTAAGCTTACATTTCAATATATTTGAGCCGCGTCACGACAAAACGAACACAATGGGTTTGCGACCAGCATGGATCCAGACCAGCCTGCGCATCCGCGCAGTCTGATCAGGATCCATGCTGTTCGCTATCAGTTTCTCTACTTGTAATAGGGTCTGTAAGCGAACAGCATGGATCCTGATCAGACTGCGCGGATGCGCAGGCTGGTCTGGATTCATGCTGGTCGCAAACCCATTATGTTGGTTTTGTCATGACGCGGCTCATTTATTTCAAGATATTTATTTCAAGGTAGATCTGTTTCAACCCTATTTAGTACGTTTAATCTGTACTTTTCTTCTTCCATTAACTGTTTAATAATTATGATAACTCGATGCGTATATACAAACAGTACCGCATTTTTTTCAACTTCTGGCCGCCGGAAAACTAGTACACGCTCATTTGTCTTTTACGACAGTTTCTTTGCATATTTCTCAACTTTTTAGCCGCCGGAAATTTGGTATGTGCTTATTTGTCGTCTGTTTGTTTGTACATTTTTGCATATTGATTAAATGAACATCTTTACAAGGACAAGACGTAATCAATATAAGATTTGATACATGCTTCAATATAGATTGACAATAGACAGGTGATGACAATTCCCATTTGACATTAGAGCTATTTTGTTAAGAGGTTTATTATTCCTTTGATATCTCTACATCTATACATCAACCATTAGTAATGTAAACAATGAAAAAAATCAACAGATAATATTGCCGGAATCCATTCAAGCAATAAAGTTTTTTTTAAAAAAGAGGGAGAAAAAAAGAAAGCAACCTCGTTTCAAACAAATACATGTAATGACAATTATTTTCGTTCATATTTGTGTTTATAATGAATCAAAAAGTGACAAAACACTAAACAGATGTCAATACTGCATTAGATGGTGATAGAATATCTTTCTTCATTATGTTAAAACATTGTTAAAAGTGAGAAAAAAAACTGTGAAAAGTGCGGCATAAATGTGATAAAAAGGGTAAAACAGACAAAATAACAACAAAAAGTAAAAAAGAGAGGAGAGTAAAAGAAAAGAAAAGGAAAAGAGAAAAAAGTTTCTTTCAGATAAATTGACTGCTGATTTACAAAAATGTGGAAAGAATTTTATTTTGATGTTCAACACACATTTGAAAATGAAGAATGATTTTGTATTCCGTTATATTCGACAACCAATTTGTCAAAAGAGAAAAACTATGTGTAAAATCTATGAAAAGCTGAAAAAGGGGTGATTAGCCACATTTTAAAATAGATTTAGGACAGAATTTTTTACTTCTTTAACATTTCCATATTCATATGTACATGTGTATACAATTTTGTTATTATTATTTTTTTTTTAATTTTGGAAAGTTTTTACATGGTTGAATGTTAACTTAATGATTTGAAAACAAATAAGATATTAATAAATTATTTATTTGCCTTAAATTCTAAAAATAAAGTTACTTTGCCATATCAAAGGCATGCGCTGCGCTGTTTGGTTTAAATACTGATTTAAGAATTCATTACTTAAAGAGATATACAAAGATAATATTTTAGTTCTAAAATACCGCTAAACATTGTATACATGTATATATACATGTAACTCTGTTGCTGTTTTTGGCAATAAGTACAATTATAGTGATTCACAAATGTAGTGTTTGTATGGAAATCAAAGTACTACCGTGTTTACATTTTGCTACATTAATGACAAAAAGTTTCACATTCAGCGCTACTTTCATCAGGTAAAAAGCATCTAACATACTCTAAAGCCATAATTTAAACATTTTAAAACTCATGTTAGCCATTTAGAAAGAAGTGAAAATTTATTTGTTTCTGATGCATAATGTGCCTTTAAAGAGCTTTATTCGTTAAAAATTTACATAACTTTAGATTTACAAGATTGATTACAAATAAGATATATGAACCTTATATTTACTACAAACATTGGAAAGCAACAAAAAGATATATTGATTTGACATTAACAGACATCTGCACCGTGTGTATGTGACGTGACGAATTTCACCAGCTGTCTTTTGTATTTTTCACAAGTAATTGTTCTACTAATACACCGCTCGTAGGATTTAATAGCTTCTAACCTTTCAAAAAAATCGATATCATATATATCTGTACCAGTGAAAAAAGCTTTTTATCTCTGAAAATGATGGACTGTTTTTTTTTCTCACTTTATTAGCTAAATTGATTGGTTTATCTGATTAGTTTGCACTGATTGGTATCGATCATTTGTTGCTTTTTCTGCAGACGACAAATATTCGAAAGTAAATGTTGACACTAGATGTAAAAAAGCCTGATTGATTGACTACTTCGTAAGATAAATATTTGTGAAGAATTCAATGATTATGTGCGGAAATAGATTGTAATTATTTTAGCAACAAAATCAGACAATCAAATCATGATCCTTGTGAAATATATTAAATTATTGGTAGATAAAATGAATATTCTTAGATTCAATTAAAATTATTTTTATTTTGGTTGGGTTTAACATCTCACCAGCACTGTAAATGTCACATGGCTGCTTGTCAGCCTTTTTCTGGTGAAGGAAGACCTCAGGTGCTAAAATTCTTTAAATATTGAAATATTCATATTGTTTAGAATTCCACAATGCAACATTTGCATATCGGAGGACATTATTTTTCTCGGAAAAAGAATGCACACAAAAATTAAACTGTTCTCTGTATGGTTTCTTTGATATATATTTTACATATTTCTTTTAATAAATGATGGTATAACAATCGAAAATAAATGGGTCAAGGTCAATCAGTAAAGCAAAAGAAAAAAAGTGGAATGGAGCCTTGTCAATCTATTTAGATCTATGTGGTCTTTTATTTTTTCTTTTGCAAAATTTACAGTATTATTGCTCCGTGCAGTTGTGTCATAACTAACAATTAATGTCACTAATAAAACTTAACAATTTTATATTACTTATTATGACGTCATTTCTCTTGCGTCACTTTTGATCAAACGGAACAATATCACTTCAAATGCGGCTATTTTAATCTTATACGTACCTCTCTATCTTTGTGCGACTCTAAGTCTTTCCATATCCGGTTTTCAACCATGACGTCATAATTGTCCAATGGTATATACACTTCACCGATAAATTCATGTGATTTGAAATTGACCGATTTTGAAAAGAGTTTGATAGTCAACGCCATACTGTGAAGTTCTTCTAAAGAAATATTGTGAAAGTACATGTCCTGATCGAACACTGGGTCTCTTGTCTTTTTAACGACAACACTTGTTTGTTTTTGAATTTTCCCGGGCATAAGACATACTTTGGCATAGGCATTAATATTTTTATCTTGCTTTTGATGGCCACCTAGATTTTCCGCTTTTATCAGACTAACTTTCAGTTGTTTCGAAGCTGCTAGATATTGAAAACTAAATTTGAGTTCTCCGAACGGAGCAAATAGGTGATGCTGATTGGTTGGCGCTGGTTTAGATTTCAGTATCACGTGACAAGAACTTGAGCGTGGTTTTTGACTTTCGGCTATTTTTTGTTTATTTTCTGACGTAATGTTAGGGGCTGAATGTCTTTTAAATGTAGGACTTGGTTGACGAGGCACATTTAAGTCTCCAAGGCTCCGTCTTTGATTATCATTTAGATGTTCGGCAGAACCACAGGAAGGAGTTGATCCACCGGAAACAGACGGACTAGAACTATCGGCGCCATTTTCATTTTGAATAACAAGAGAAGAGCGCCGCCTGTTATAATAGCGATTATGTTTGGATTGTATAGGACCTCTAAGAGTACCATCGTTTGTGTATAAATGATATGATGGCGACAGCCGCCTGTGTGTAAGGTCTCCGACATTCTCCATGTCTGGTGACGGCGTCCTCGTCCGACTGTTTTGCCTTGCAGCTGTGACTACAACCGACGGCATACTTCTACAGTAAACGCTATGAGCTGTTATGCAAGAAGTTGAACGAGATAATGTCTTATGATCGGGTGAAGTTCTTTCCAAGTTTATCTTATTTAACGAGTTCTGTCGAAAAGCTTTAGGAGAATATCGCTTTGGTAGAAGATTATCACTCCCCATGTGAAATAAGGATTCTTTTCTGCGCGTATGAGGATTTTCTGTAAGCGTCGTGAAGCCGTATGATGTTTTAACGCGAAAGTGTGGAAGACTTATGGCTGCAAATGATAGAGGATCATCATTAGTTCCGTCTGGCACGTGATCTAGCCCGGATGTTGAATGGATCTCTCTGCAGCCGATAATTTGTCTGATTTCATGTTTAGGCGTCACTGGCGCGGAACGACAATGGTTATTATTCATTGCATGTATGCATGGAGCGGAATCTGAGGGTGAAAGGCACCGAGGACTGCCCGGGGGAGAGCTTGCATAACTTCTTCCGCCGTAACTATTTCTTTTAAATGTAAAATCTAGCTCTGAGCAGCATTCGCTGCTGGTTCTCCGCGAAGATTGTTCAGATCCGGGTATTACAAATTCTGGAATATTTTGAGGGGTTAAAGCAGTTATACCTCGAAAGTTTGACGCCTCACCGGCACTGTTCGAAGACATAGTTTGAAATTTATTATAGAGCCACTCCTTAACTTCCTTCAGCGCATCCATGATTTTTTAATCCAAGATTTTACTTTTCAAATTCAAATCAAATATAAAACTAAGGTTACAAGCTTTTACATAGAATATCTAGTTGAAATAATTGCAGTTAAAATCTCAATGTGCATTTCTTTTAAATATTAGTCATATTGCCAATATATTTCTATTTTCAACAAGATCCTGGTATTCAATGTATATATCCGCTTTGCAATTTAATAAACCAATTCCCTTTTAAAGTTCAGTTGCCAATAAGAACCGTTTAAATTCAAAAATAGACATCAAATCCATTTATTAAATAAAATCCTTTCATTGCTCAAAAGTAAATTAAACATTTAACGAAAATATCTCTCTTTCCACTTCTATATGATTGTATAATATTCCATCAAAGCAGATAGTAATGTATTTTGTTTCACTTGTCGATATAGAATAACCCGTATGCTCTTTTTTCCAAGGTTATATGACATGTATATACCAAGTTGCCAGTATCACTTACATAATAATTATTATATTTTAGCAATTAGCCAATATTAGTGACGTGTTAGCGGCGGACGTCATTGCAGCCACATAAATAGTAGTATCAACTTTCACAGTATGTTTTTATGCCGATATATATTTTCAGTTCAATGTTAACGCATTTTATGACACTCTGGTAATAAATCCGCGAGCCATTTATAATTAACAATAAAATAGAATTTGTTTTTTTTTCCTCAGCGATTTAAAAACACACAATTTACAGTTTATAAATTACTCTCTCAGAATCCGTCTAGTTACCGATTGTTTTAATGATCATCATTATAATTGTAAAATAATAACCGAAACTATTTCAATTGTTTTATTCAATTTCTTATAAAATCACTATTTTGTTTCAAAACTTAATAACTCAGCAATGAAAAATCTAATCTTATGCTGAACATTAAAAGGTAAAACAAATATGTTTTAGATAAAGCACTCAAAAATCACTTTGAAATTATCCCAAATTATTTCACATGATTTTTCAATTTACATACCGCAAATGTTTAGTTTATCAATCCGAAACTATGGACACTTTATACGTCCTCGTTTGAAAGCAGTCAATAGTTATCTCCTACATACATATATCCATCAACTTTCCGATAACAAATAGATCGGATAACAAAACCACTTCCACTGTTTGTCAACCACTTCTTACCTCTTAAATATCGCTACAGCGACAGTGCGAACAACTCATTTCAGAATACCCTCACTGTTATTATTTGATATTTGAAAAAGAATATTAGAAAATGCTAGCTACTAATAATGAAATTATCTCTATTTTCCGCGCATTTCCCCCCACGTGGTATCGACTTATTTTACGACCGTTATTTTTCCCTGGCTATTGTCACAAAGTCAGATTTCCGGTAAGTGGCGTGCAAGAAGAGCATTTAATGTACTTTTCAATGGATAGCGCATGGAAGAAGCATTCCGCACTAAAAGTGTAAGGAGACATTTTCATTTGTATGCAAAAAAAAAAAAAAAAAAAAAAAAAAAAAATTAAGAAAAAAAAGAAAAAAAATAAATAAATAAATTAATTAATCAAAAAAATACAAAGACATAACTTACCTATAGGATCAAGGTTTTAAATAAAAACTTAGCTTATTCGCGTTATTTCGGACCGTTTAACATAAAATGCCCATCCTTTATTAATTTAAAAAAACAACTATAAAATACCACGTAGCGTAAACATTGAAAATATCTTACGTCGTAGTATTTATTCGCCATTTGTTGTCAGGAAATGTTTCAAGATGGCCATTTCTTTGTGTGGTAAATTCCAGTGTCACCCAGGAATGTTACAGGTAACCTAATCCGGAATTGGGAATTTAAACATGGGTGTGCAATACTGATAATTTTCTTTTTGAAAAAAAAAATATTGCCTGAGCGAAATAGCACGCCAGGCATTTAAGTGGTACATTTTTGTAACTTGACAACATGTAAAATGTACTTGTTAAAGCTCACATACAAAATTCATTAAGATATTTTTTATTTGCATTAGCTCCATTATAAATCATACGGACCAAGAGCAACAATTTTAGAATTGTTCACTTGATATATGTGGTTTTCACTTTGAACCTTTGTAAATCTACATGTATCACAAATAACCTGTATTTTTTATTGGATCCCATATAAGCTTATACATTTATTTACATTTATTACATGCTTTTCGGTGGTTTATAGAAATATATCAGTGAAATAAAACTGGTAATTTCACTGTTTGAAACATAGAAATTACCACTTTGATAATTTCACTGTTTTGAATTTAAGCCCCTTACGTTGTGTCAGTGAAATACCAGCGTGCACAGTACTGGGTACCAACTTAATGACGTGACGTCGTAAATGACGTTACGTTGTATTATTATTTGGCGCGCTTTTCATTCAGTATTAGGTTTAATGTCTTTTTAAAACGTTTCTTTGCATATAATAAAAAGAAAATTTGTTTAGTTTAGTGTAAGATCGAAATATATTTCACCTTGTGAACACCAAAAGTTCATATTTCACTCGTGGCTGCGCCACTCGTGAAACATACCTTTTGGTGCTCACTCGGTGAAATATATTCCGATCTTACACTGAACTAAACAAATATCCTCTATATAAATATAAAAATATTCTTGTCACATATAACCAAGTATTTTTTTTATATCCCATATAATCTCCATATTATATCACATATAAAGATGCACTTTTTATTACACATAACCATATATTTCTTTATTAAATTAATCTTATATTCGTTGCCATACCATGCAAAATATGTACCGGAAATGTAATAAAAGGTCGCAACAGACTCGCTTCAAGACTTGTTTTTTAAACAAAAATTCTATTTGAATTGAAGACTAATATTACACCATATTTTTTTACATATCAGACAGGATTTTCTATAAGGCCCCCATCCACCTTCCCCGCCCTGTCTAAATCAAGCCGTGTGGTGTTAATGACGTTATTCCCGCACTAAATTTATAAATGATTTGCATGCTAAGGATGATGTCATTTCGCCGTTATAATAATATGAAGTTGTAAATTCATACGGAACCGTAAGAAAAAGGTACTAAATAAACATATTATTTTTAGTTATTCAATTCCTAAATATGATTAAAACTTTTTTCACTGTCTGACTTCACAGATGGGAAATACCAACCTCTCCTAAAACTGTTTTATGAGAAACTCGCACCGTAAAAAAATCTTCCCTATAGCCGTAGTAAGATACTTATTATATATATAAACAAGAGCTGTCGGTAGGACAAAGTGGTCGACTATTCTCAGTGCTTGATAGTAAGCATGAGCCTTGATAATGTAACATTTTCTAAGTTTAAAAAGGCAGTTATTCTGTAATAATCTACATGTATGTTTTGGATATGGGCCTTGGAAACAATGGAAAGTAACATATTTATTCGCTCTCATATAAGTTCGAGGGGTTTCAATCCAGTCCATTTAGTTTTGGATATACCAGCTCGTACACAAAAGCTTAACCAAATTGTGACGCCGGGTGCCTGGGTGATTAGAATCGCTCTCCATATTTTTCGAAACATCTAACTAAAGACGAAAATCACTCAATTTAACATATTGATTTTAATTAATGATTGTAATATCTAAGTGATGCAATCATGAGCTGTTGTTACTGTCATAAGCAAATTTGAAACATTTTCCCGGATAACTGAAGTAAGCCATGAAAATTTAACAATTAATATCCGTTTGATACGAGGATTGCCAGGGATTGACTAGAAGATTGATTTTGTTATCAAAAATGTATGATTTGCCCATTAACTAATTTTAACGACAAAGTAGCAGCTAAAATATTTATTAAATATAAATAACCACCGAAAAAGATATAGGATGGTTTAGAAATGACTTTTAAGATGAAAAATTCTTATTCTCAAATTAAATTTTTTTAAAAATTTAATATAACTTATAAAAACTTGTTAACTCATTTAAAAGTTTCAGGTTTCATTTTTATCATCTCACGTATCGTTTTTATTTGTCGACGAGCTTGAACAACAAAATGTTTTTTTTACTCTTAAAAAGACGAAATGTTAAAGTATGACGTAAATAATACTGACAACAATAACAACGTTATAAAATAAAAAAAATATGATTATCCTGCGTTCTCGAGACTAACAAAGTGCCTTCTATATATAAAAGCACTCCCCTTTAATTCAATTTCATCCAACTTCATATTTATATAGAAGCTTATATGATATAATATTGGGCGATGAACTTTAATAAAACCACAAGAAATAACCGCAAAATAACCAGGCTTATTATTACGCTTGAAAATTATTTAGATGTTATTCTGATTACAAAGACAGGTTAAATGTTAATGCTCTTTTGTAACTCCCACACTTTCTTGAATAGAAACAGACATTGTATGCTAATACTCGTACGTTTGCGTGGTTAATTGTCTCAGATTTAAAAAAAAGAATATTTATATTTGTTTAAGGTTAATGCTATATCTATTTACTAATATTTTAGATATTAGATAAATGTGGCCTTTTAATTACATTGACATTGTTGAAACCATATGAGTCATACAATGAGCAGCGACACACAAGGCTATCTGATTTGTACGAGGGGCATTTTGATGTTCTTTTTCTTTAGTGTCATAGGCAAAATATATATAAAAAAAACACGTTCCCTGTCGTCACAATATGAAACCCCAGACAAAAAGTAACCAATGTACGAGCACCTGAATCGTTATCTCTTTCCCTGTCGTTAGAATATGTAAACCCCAGATAAATGCGCCAATAAACGGACAATCTCTATTTCTATCCCAGACAGACAACTGCGGTAAACGGGAGTGCAGTAACTAATATCCCCACTCCAGTTAACGCAATGTGAATGTATGGGTCATATGATTCAACTATAAAATATCTCAAACTATTATAGTTTATTACAATATTTATCACTGAACTGCATTTAGTAAGTCGCAACATTTATCTTTGTTTCTTAATTTTTTCCATCAGACATGAGCTGCACCTCTGCAAAACCGACGACCTGCTTAACTATTTAAAAAGAGTTCGATTAAAATCTAACCATGCACGGTCGGGTGGTTACATTACTTAGCTTAACTTTCGAATCAAAAACATGGTCCATATGTTGTTCAATACATAATTATGAAATAAAGTTAATAAAATATCCGATATTTTATTTGTTCCATTATAGAAATGTTAATCTTGTGATAGAACATAATCAAACACCGAGGATAATCTTAAATGTTCGGTTCATTTCGGAAAATGGAACAACAGAACAAGTTTAAGGTTAGCTTTTCCCGTTCTTTTGTATTGTTTCCTCTTCAACCGCGACAAAATGAAATAACGAAATGGCAGAAAATAGCCACCATAGTTCATCCCTGTTTGTTATCTCATAAAAATCATGTAAAAGTTGAAAAAAGCGCTTATTTAACATATCTTATAAGGTACAGAGAGTGACCAGACTGGCCGGAAATATACGATTCATAGACGGAAATTTACGAAATGCATTATGCCGCAAGATTCATGATCATTGTATTAAATAATTTTAAAAAAGTATCATGATAATATTGTCATGTGAACACACAGCGTGATTTGGGTTAGCATAATTGAGACTCGGAAATAATTCAGAAAGAAAAAAAATAGATAAATAAAAGAACAAAAATTAAAGTAAAAAATATCGAATTGGATTTTCTTGCTTGTAAATTCCGCTGTCGCCGCTAATCTGATCGTAAATTTAAACACTCCTTGCATATCATAAATCTGCAGATTCGAGTTAAGCTTTTGAGCAGATAATTGCACGAGTATCAGATGGTACGGCCATTCATTTTCTTAAATGCACATTAAAAGGCTATTATTTTATGTTAACATACGCTAAAGTAATAAATCTTGTATAAGTAGGCTCAGAAGTTTTATGATATGCAGACGAATCAATAGCTGTGCTTATCACAAAAGTTATGCCTAAACAAACTGAATTTATGAAATTGACTTGTCGTTAAGGAATTTCGGTATGGTTTTCCTAAAACGATCAGTCAAAACAAAACATGTGCTTTCTTTGAATACAGAATATTCTGCGAAGCAACTCCATTTTAGAGGCAAATATTATGGCTGTCGCTTATAGGTGTTGCTCTAAAGAGGTAAAATATAATGGGGAAGAAATAATACATGTTTATCTGTTGTAATAAAGTTATTGCTTATCAGAAGGCAGCTGTGCAGTGTCTATTATCTATCAATATAATAACTTTCAAGTGAAGAACATTACTCAACTCGTCACCTTAGTGCAGTAACGGGTTAAGTCCTTCTAAAAGTAATAGGACTAAACTG